GATCTGACTCTCCTCCTGTCGGGCGGTGAAAGCTTTCCGATGAGGAACATCTACTCGCCGCCGGTCGAGGGCGAAGACATCTGTTGCCGAGCGCACCCCACGTTGGCTGGCTCACAGTGAGCGCTTTCGCGCGAGACGTCCCGCCCCACAGATGGCGTGGGCCCTTGTTGCGCCGGCCCCAGCAGTCCTCTTGCTCCCTCGAGTCCTCGCCCGGTGTTTGGCGCTTGATCCACATGATCAGCGCCGGGAGGGGCGTGCCTCCCCCCCCGTGACTCTCCCCTGCCGCCCGCTGTGGCCACACTTGTGGCGGACGCTGTCTCGGGCACTACACGAGACAGGGCTTCCATGACGTTCCTAACTTTTCCGCCATCATGCTCTCCATTTTTGCGGTGGCCTGGTCGATGGCTGTCTTGACCTTCTCGTGGGTCTGGGCTGCATCGCCATTGCCGAACTCTCCAGACGCAGACGGCATAAGTCCACTTCACTAGGAAAGTATGAGGTTAACCTTCGCTCTAGAGCGTTAATTGGTTTCAAGCCTAGTGCTGCTGGATAAGCACGGCTGACCCGGTTGACAGGAATGAAGATATGGTGAAGTCGTTAATTAGGTTGCCCTCGTAGGCAAGGAACAGGAGAGAGTGGGCGCCTCGTGCGCCACTAAGCATCAAGCAACAGTCGCCAGAAATTCACCGACGTAAGGACGCATAGACTTTCCGCAACTCGGAGCAATTCCAACTACCAAAGACACGTCGTGAGATACCCCGGGGATCCATGCCTGTGGAACGGTCACTTGCACACTTTCTCGCTCTCAAACCACACATGAGTACTACCACAGCAGCGCTCGTAAGGATGACATAATTCACCTCACGGACACTTTCTACACGAAAGACCAAGATCATAACTCTGTTTCCAACAACGGTCAATCCCAATTCTTGGAGATAAGCAACAGCGGAAGACTATCATGAGGAGTTGGTCCACACACCTACCATGCGGCTGCACTTGCTGTCTGTACTTCCAACAAACATCAGACAAACATCGAAATCGCCCCCATCGCTGGCGTAACACAGCGCATCGGGACATGAGGCAGTCATCCATCATTTGTTGAGCGCAATATAACCTGCATGTATTTTTTCGACATTCCTCCATTCTCGAGGAAGTTCAACACTGATGTTCCAATTGTTCCTCATACGTCCCTTCAGCGATTCCAACAATATCCCATCTTCCTACGCATGTTGCAAACCTAAAGAAGGGCACCAACGTAGCCGCATTCAATGAGGTTCTCAACCGAATGACTAACAGGAAAACACGGAACATGCGGACGCGAACGCCTCCGAGAAACACGGAACACGGCCCTGGTTCTTCAACTAGAATGCACCCATGACAACCGACGAGGATACCACCTTCGCTGCGACCACCATCAAACACCAAATACCGCCAAGAATGGAGTGCTATTTTCAGCACTGATGCATGTTGCTTCCCTCCCAGCGCTCGTCCCGGCCTGTAGCCTCACCAAGAAAAGAGTTCCCGCTTTTGCACCACGATGTATGTTGCCTTCTCCCCACGCCCCGTCCGACGTGCCGAGGGCTCCCCCTCACGCACCTTCCGGCGCGCCACGGGAATGGTTCGATTTTTTTCCCCCCTCACGCCCCGGTGTTTGCCATCGGGGTTGGGTTTTCGTCGCTTGGCAACGACGTTGTAAAACAAGCCGCCCCCCCCCCC